AGATCACCAAAGATCAGTTGTTATGCTGAAATGCTCCCAACTGCTAGCCAATACTGATACTTTACTTGATACCTTTGTGTATATACTTGGTATAGAGTTTCTGAAAAGTATTTATTAGAAGGTAAAGTATATTGAGGCTCCATGACCTTCATCAGTCGCTTGAAACCATCACGTTTAAATGTACTGAATGGCTCATTGTCTAGAGCAATCATCTCTCCAATCACTTTATGTATTTTGCAAGAATTTGGATGATCAAAGGCAAAGGACTTTTTATCTTCCAGTACACTCTTTAGGGTTGGTTGGCTAGGTGTAGCTTCTTTCGAAGACCGAGCAGCATCTTGAACTTCTTGTTCCTTCTAGTTATTTAACAGCTGTACGAAAAGTACTAGATAAAGTGTTTCGAAGTGTTTACGCAGGTTAGTTGTATTAAATCCCTTCTTGTTCTTTCCACCCCTAGATATATTCTCCCCACACTTGTTGCAGAGTGCTTTGGAGTCATCTGAGGCAGATATAGTAAAATTTTGCCATACCAAACTGTTCCTACGACTAGCCGCTGTTTTCTTATGCAATTAAAACTGCACATGCTTCTCAATTACATAATATTGTGTGGATCTAACTGGGTGTGGGCGGTTACCATGCACATGGACACATGTGTCAGTAGTGTTTATCTGTTATTCATGCCAATCTGATACCAAATACCAACTGATGCATACAATATCGGCCCTGATTTAATACAGATACCTGTATTGGTGGAACCCTAATCTGAATAATTATATAGCTTAAGCAATGGCTTAAACCATTTATAATGCAGCAGTGTTGATTCTGAAGTAAGACAAATGAGCCTGTGTATTACAGAGGGAGACAAGCAAAAATTAGTATAATTTTTGGCAGTGGCTATTGGTCCAGTAGCCTGACACAATTTTTAGTGCTATTGGTCCTTAAAACAACATTGTGTGCATGTGCCTTGATGCAACATTGAACCCAATTTGTTCGAATTTAATGGAATCCTGCTCATTGTCATGTCTACACTTGATGTTTGTATGTAAATTTGTGTTTTTGTATACTAGGGTGAAGCCACTACTGGACCCCTAGCCATTCAAATTCCTTTTCGGGCTACTGGACCAATAGCCACTTTCTAATTTTTTGTTCTATTGCATAGCCAAGGCAATAGAAAGCTTATTTTACAATGATAGATGATTATATACAACACTTACTGCATGGTGCTCAGTTAAAATATCACTATAAACTCTTAAATTTAGTAGAAAAATACAGAAACTGGCTGATAGCACCTAGGCCAACATGGTATAGAAGAAGGACTGTACAGCCAGATTATATTGATGGGCCATTCTGAGCCCTGAGTATTTGATGCTTTGATTCTGAATGAAATTGTACTCTTATTGAAAGAGAAGTGGGAATCATTTCAGACAATTATGAATAATTATTAAGCCATGCCCAACCACACCCTTTAATATTAATAATAGTTAATAAATCAGTAGTTGATTGTAGTAATTGATAAAATGTGGTTCTGATCAGGAGTAGTACTCAGAATCAGTATTCGATTCCAGTCTCAAAAGTATTTGGAATCAGAATTGATAGCAAATTTCTGGATTAACCCCATCTCTGCCAGATTATACACAATGTAATTGGTCACGTGATCCCGTTCCTATCCCGGTTACGTAGTCTCTAATATCTATGATAAAATCAATCATTGAAGCAAAATTTTTAAATTTTTGTATATTTTGTAGTTGATGATCCTGCTAGCCAGATATTCCAGCATTACAGCAATAGAATATCACAAGTATCTCTCACTGACAATTGTATCCAGTTGTTATATACAGAAGGATTAATCAATGAGGATACACAAAGGAAGATTGAGAGATGTGGGGGCTCATTAAGTGATACATTAAAAGAATTAATGATTGCAGTATCGGATGATCACAGTAAGCTGAGGTCACTAGGGAATATATTAATGAAATTAGACGAAACTAAACCTTTAGCTCAAGATATTATTAAAGATTGTGGTAAGAATAACAGTATATGCTAGTATTAACTGTGTTGTTGCATGTTGTGATAATAGATGAAGTAGTTGATAGATCAGTTACTACAGCTGTAATTAGACCAGTTACCACTAGTACAGTCAATCATTTACCTACTGCAAACACATCAGTATCAGCTTTAGGTATATTAGTCTATATCTCGTTTAAATTAAGTTTTATTATCACTATAGATGGTGAGC